GGGGACCCCTGTGCCCCATGTCCACCCCCGGAGGGGACAGACCCCCCCCACGGCTGCACCCCCAGGACCCACTGAAGGACCCTCCTGCCCCACGGAGGACCCAGCCCTCGGGGGGGGGATCAGACCCACAGCAGAGTCAGACCAATGAGCAACTGGAAGGTGGCAAGGGGAGGGACAAGAGAAGCACGGGGACCAATAGCCTGCTGGGGGAGGTGTGGCCAATACATGACGTGCAGTAGGTGTGGCAGACCCCTCCCAAGAGATGCTGGGGGGCTCCAGCCACGCCCAGCCCAGTATGTCCCAGTACAGCCCAGTATGGCTAGGGAGGCCAGGCTCTACCCTCCCACCGGCTGACGGGAATGGATGGGGCTGGCGGTGCCCGGGGGCGGGGGGGTGATTAATGGGGGCCATCGCTCACTGTCCGGCAGGGGTGGGGGGCCCCCCCCCGTGCGGCGATAACGAGCGGCAGGAATAATGAGCGGTGTCATTCCACTTTTCATCGTGATGGAAAGTCATTACAGGCGTCACCGGCGGCGACAACCAGCCATGAATCAACTGCTCTGCTATGAAATTAAAATCGAATTGCCCACCCCCTCCTGCCACCCCACCGCAGCCCCCCCAGCAAGGGCTGTCAGCCCTGGGGGGGGGTGGCTATGCCCTCCGGCAAGGTGTCCCCCCCCTCCCCGAGAGCCACCCCAAGGACAGGACCCAAATCCCTGGGGTCACCCTAGGACCCACATCCCAGGGACCGACCCAGAGCAGGGGATTTAGGGGCTCCTCTCCCCCTCCTGAAGTCCAGATCGATGGATGGGAGAAGGGCTTTGGCTTTATTCAGCAAGATCCACCACCCCCAGGGAGGCCACGGCCATGTTACCAGCGCCCCAGGGCTGTGAATAGGGGGGGGTCTGGGGAGCAGGACCCCCCCCCTGCCCCTCTCCGTGGGTGCCTGTCCCGTGGGGACTCACAGGGAGACACCCATCAGGTTCACCGGCCGCCCGCTGTAGCGCTTGGAGATGTCGGCCTCGATCTGCAAGACAGAGCCGGGG